ATCTGGTAGAGCTATACACATCCACGAGCTTGGGGATCTCAGCAACGGCTGCGATGCTACAGGAGGACACTATAACCCTTTCAGCGTGAATCACCCCCGGCACCCAGGGGATTTCGGCAACTTTTTTCCTAAAGAAGGCAAAATCAGAAAATACAAAACGAATCTCTCTGCCACTATGTTTGGTCCATATTCCATCATGGGCAGATCCGTTGTGATCCACGAGCAGGAAGATGACATGGGCAAGGGCAACAATAAGGCCAGTTTGGAAAACGGAAATGCTGGGAAACGCCTGGCTTGCTGCGTGATCGGGATATGCAACAAGAACTTGTGGGAGGAGAAACTGCCTGAGGTTACAGACAAGAAGAAAAGAGGGCTCAAACGAACATAGAACCAGGCTTAAGTGAAGGCCAACAAGCCGGCTACAGCCCGGGCAGCACAAAGTACCTTCGGGCTGTGCCACTGGCCACTAAGATACATGGCTAAAGGATTCCTGTTTCCATTTGCTTGCTCCTCTAAGAAACGCCTATCACTTTGTAGAGCCTCCTTTCTGTAAGCCCATCAATAAAACCAGCATCAACCCAACATTGTCACGTATTTTCTTGAAGAGAAAAAGATTCCTTTTTCTGCAGTGTGGGAGTCGAATGCATGTAAGTAAGAGTGCTAACGGATGCGGCTGACAGTCTGTGAAGAGTCTGAGTGCGGTAAAGGGCTCTTAAGGGATCATAAGTCAGATACCAAAGAAAATAACTAGTGAATATGAATAAGTAAGAAATTGCCTCTCTTTAGACACTATCCTATATTCAGCTGCAGATCTGAAAGCTAAACTGATCTCTCTGCTTTCAACAGTGTTGTGTCGTGAGACCTGGATAATGCACTTCCCCTAAAAATAAGGGAAAGTAAAGACATTTCTGTTTTAAACTATAGATCCTGTACGTTGTTCTACTTGCATTTTCAGGCTTTATTCTCAAACATATATAACTATTTTAAGTTGTCCACATCGCTATAGCTGTCATACTGCTCACATCTGAAAGCAGACTTAGAAATATTCCAGTTTACTATCGCTCCCCAGCAAAAATTCACTAAAGCCTCTAGTTTGTGCCCGTTAGTAACCAAGTTTTGTATACAAAAGTTTTAATGCTGCTTAGACAATGATAATAAAGTTAGCAGATCAGAGATAAATATTGCTTTCAAAGCCAAAAATACTGAGTGTGTTTCTTCATACAAAAGTGTAGGAAGTAAATCAGTCAATTTAGACTGGGAGAAGTGACAGTGAAAAGACTTAAGTCATATAATTTTCAGACTTAAAACTTATAACTCTCACTCAATAAAGCTTTACTTTTTTAATTTAACACAACTCACTGAAAATACTAAAACACTGTCTCACGACTATCATTCATCTGATACTGAGAAGAGAAAAGGAAACAAGCAGGTAGAACAAGCATATCAGGAAACGTTTTTATTAGATGACAAAACGTATTAATATAGTTGAACCATGTTGTGCAGTTAACCCAAGCAGCAACAAGAGAGGTTTGCAAATAAATTAAACTGCATAATTTACAAAGTAAGACTACCAAACAGAAGCTGGTGAACAAAATCCTATCTTTCAGAAATGTAGCAGACTTTCAACTTAATCTCAGTTAAGATTTTGAAATACATTCCTGAGCTCATACGGATTAAAGAAATTGCACCATCTTTATTATACAAATTTCCATACGCTTAAAAATAGTCTCATTTAGAAAAGAAGCAGCATTCTAAAAGATGCTTCTTAATCTGTCATTTTCACACACTTGTTTTACAAATTCGGTGAACGTTGTTTTTCAAATAACCACAACATTGTACTTTCAAATGAAATCCTCCTCACAGATGTGATGATGCATGAATTCACTCTTAGGTGAGACAACCTCCTTAATATCAGTTTGCACAATGCATCTTCTCCATAACCCTGCCACAGCATTCCCTTCCCAGTTTGCTTCCCCAGAGCCCACCACCAAAAAGGCTTATACATCTGGATACGATTTTTGCATTTCTGAAATCCTAGAAAAAGGGAACACAAGTCTAAAAGAAAAAAAACCAAAACCAACCAACCCCACCAAACTACCAAACAAAACCAAGCCCTCCGCAAAAAACATAAGGTAGTGTTGATTCCACAAAAAAACACTAATTAATTTACTGGGGAAAAAAATCATCATTCTACTAGCACAACAATATCAATTAAAGCAATATCCAAGGCAGATACTGACAAGAATATTCGATGAGTTACCACATAGTGCAGCAAAGATGTCTTATTTTTACAGGTGTCCTGGCTTTGAAGTCTTGTGTTCCTGGGAGAAGGCTAAAAACGTAGGTAGAATACACATTCCCTACAGAGGTAAGGAGGAGGACAGTATTGCAGCAGCGATAAAAATGAGGTTTCCAGAGATCTAGATATCTCACAGGAATCTGATGATTGCAAAGATATAAAAATAGCATCTACGAGGGAGAATGGTGTGAGGATAACTACCAAGATGTCCTAATTGTTGGGTCATACATCACTATGTTCTCACAGAAAAAACACACTAAAAAGAATCAACAAACAAGGTGCTAAAAAAACCTGTTGGTCCAGCACTGCTTCTACCTACTCGATTTTTTGCACCAAGCTCTTCATTAATTAATAGCATTAACTGGCTGTTAAGGGACCAGGAGCAAATGCCACCTCACACAACTGTGGGTCAGGAAAGACACAGGACAGGGGAACTATATAACGCCCTGAACATTTCGGAGCTCAGCTATGTGAAACCCTGACCTTCTTATTCGCTTGCCTCAGTTCTGACTGCATTGATATTTAGCTCTGCACAGGATTAGTCTGTGAAAGATGGAAAAGAATACATCTTGAATAAAATGCTACTTCATGTGACATTCAAGCATTAAAGGAAAAAATCCTGCCACATTCTCCCAGAGATTTCAGTTTCTGCAGCTATTTCTCTTCTGACTTGTCAGTACTGTCATATAAACGAGTCAATAACGCAGTCAGTTACAATTAATGGGAACACCATAACAATCTTTCAAATACTTAAACTCTTTTTGTTTTTTCAGGTGACAAGGAACTTAAATGGTGATCAGGACAATGAAAGAAAAACTTTTTACTGCTTCATGTTCCTAACACGCTTAAATATACAGATGGATTTGTTCCTAAGGGCTGCTGCTAAATATCAGTGAAATGCCGCAATGTCAAATTACCTTTAAAGAGAAACGAAATGTATTTGAGGAGCACTGCGAGTATGGCTTTACTGCCTGCAGACAGACACTGAAAGGGTTACATGAACGCACCTGCTAGGGAAAACACACGAGAACAGAGACAAGCCACATTTTTCACCTTCCCACTACCATTCCTTATACTTACATGTAATCATTTACATACAGCCTTTCTTCTGCTGAATGCAAACTGTTCGTGGACTCTGACACCTTGATTATGGCAGCACCTGCTTGCTCATCTTCCACATACAGAAGAGTTTGTCAGTACTGCTAATATAAACTGTTCATTCAGTAGCTGGCAAGTGGGCTGTAAAAATTTGCAGCTGGCAGTTATTTGTCAAAGGAGGACTCAATCTGGGAGGGATTTTCCTTTTTATTAGTAGTATTTTATTAAATTTGGTTTAATTCTCTCTGATTGGTTTCAAGTTCTAGGAGTGAGAAATGAACATTTACAGACAATTAGGTCCCAAGCCAGCAGAAAAATTGCCTTGACGGCTGCTGGCCCATAGAAGCTCCGCAGCTGCAGAGACTATTCCTTATGCTACAAACAGGAGAGGAAGGACGTGCCTCCCCGTCTCCAACAGCTGCTAACTTCAACGTTAAGTATTCCCTTGTTGCTGCCTTCCTGGGAGCAGAGTGGCACAGCTCCAGCATCAGGAGCAAGCTAGGGAATGACGCAGCAGCCTCGCTTTTCCCCAGTTATTATAGGAATGCTTTCCTATGACTAAATATCAACAAGGAAAGAAGTCTAAGAAAGTGGCAACATTGCAAATAAACCTACCACAGCATAGACTGGTGAAATGAGGAGGAAAGGAAGAGTTATCCTTATTTCCAAAACATAAGAAAACAAAAAAGACACAGATTCCTTTAAAAAGGAGGGCACAGATGGAATAGGCTGAAATCCATCACCCGTTACTCAGCCTGAGGGCTGTTCCAGCTCCTGTAGGCTGAGGAATGCAATTCCAGTAGCAGAGCGCCAAGCAGGTGGACAGGGCATCACTGGTTCTCCTCTTGCTGTTCTTGCTTTAGAACAGCATTGCCTCTTCTCACGGAAAGGCTTCTGGCTTCTCTGATGATCTTTCCTTCAGAGCTTTGTTACATTGGGTTCTCAGTATCTGGTGAAATAACTCCCTATATTTTCATGAGATGAGCTGGGAGAGGGAAGAAAAAATTTCATACAGTTGAGAAGATATAAAGGTTTGAAATGAGAGAACTCTAAACATGCAGGGATGGTTTTCAGAAACTTCCTAGAAGGGAAGAGTGATTTTATTCTAAGGATGTACTTACAGGCACTGTATGTAACGAGAAATAGAATGCAGTCTGAAAAACAAGCAAAAGCTTGCAACTTTAGGATGCTTCTCAATTTATCACCCCAAATTTTTTTATCCTTGGAAGACGCTTATAACTATTAAAATACAGTCCAGCACTGGACCATACACATTACAGAGGCCTAGTGATAATATGACACATCATTATCACTGGTCTCTTTGCTACACTAATGTAAATTACAGCAATCTATGTAGAAACTTCAAATCATTACAAAGGACCGACGTGATTAAACCTCATCAGCTTCAAATTCTTTCCCTTAGGTAATTTACATCTTTGGTACACCGTAGCCTGAAACTAACAGAAAAACACCTTTATTAGACAAATAACAGATCGACATAAAACCCAACCCTATGGCACACTGTTTCACCGATCATATTCGCAGCAGCTCAGACGCTGCAAAAGGATTACAGGGAGAAGCTCCAGGGCCTTGATTTCATACCTCAAGCCAAACTGTTATCCAAATATTCACAGTTTTCAGCAGAATCAGATGGTTTCTTGTTTTCAGATTCAGGGAGCTCCTCAAAGCTGTTATTTGTGTGTGCAGTTGTAACACTGAGCCCTCCGTGCCTTCCAGGGTCCTCAGCATGCACCACATCCACGGTGCTGCTATTTTGATCCCCGCCTTCATCGGGAATTTCACAGTCGCTCTCTGAGGTTTTGTCATTGTCTTTCAGGGCCTCAGCTTCAGCTGTTTGTTCGTTCTCTGAGTTTAAGGGATCTGTGGGGTCAGATGAGTCAGGGCTGGAAAGTGGGAACTCTCCCTCGGATGAACCATTAAACTCTGTTCCAACCACCGTGTTCTGCGCCCCTGCAGAAGCGCCTGCGCTTTTCCCTTCCAGTTCTGCTACTGCCTGCTCTGTCAGTTCAATTATCTGACTTCCAAGCTTGTTTATTTCTTCTTCCTCAGAAGGTAGCTGGGGTAATGAAGGATAAAAATGTTTATTTTGGTTTCTGTTATTTAAGTTCGCTCCCTCTGGAGCCAGGGACGCACTTGCAACAGCACAAGTTTCATCACGTTCTCCCTTCTGTTCTGCTGAAAGAGAAATGGAACAGAGAGATGCTCTAGTCAGTCGCAGGTATTTATTATACATCTGACCTGAAGACCACCACCACCAGTGCCAGGCCACAGAGATACTTAACTCAGTAAGGAATTTCTAAGAGTGATTCCCTATCCCAACCAGGCCCATTTCTTAGATGATAAGCACTCAACACTAAGTCTCTTGCTGGATCTGGCCCTGTTTTGGAGCC